AATGGAACAACTTGCCTCCAGAAGTTGTGAATGCTCCAACTCTGGAAGGTTTTAAGATGTGGATAACCTTATGTCTGAAGGGGTGCAGGGGTTCCTGCCTAAGGAGGGGGTTGGGTTAGAAGACCTCCAAGGTCCCTTCCAACTCTGTTATTCTACTCTAAAAATCAAGAAAGTCCAGTTGCCTCCTGAAAAAGCACCTTTGGGACAATTCTCAAAAGCCCTTTTGTTTTATCTCCAGGTCAGTTGTCTGAACATATGCTTTTAATACGCTTTTCTGATATGCCTGATAAAGTTTCCTTCTACCTTTTCCAGGCATTTTTTGTAGGACCTGGAAACATGCTGGGAGTGCCCATCCCCATTGGTGAAGCTCACAAACACATCTTTGGAATGGTACTCATGAACGACTGGAGCGGTAATGCACCATTAATCGTATTCCTTTGATGGTAGACTATAGGCCAGCGGTTCCCAAACTTGGCAACTTTAAGACTTGTGGACTTCAACTCCCAGAATTCTCCAGCCAGCAGAGCTCTGCTGGCTGGAGAATTCTGGGAGTTGAAGTCCACAAGTCTTAAAGTTGCCAAGTTTGGGAACCACTGCTATAGGCCAACATAAGGCAGACCTCGCAAGATTGCTCCAGATTTGACTGATGTCAAATCAGTCAATTATTTGGTTATCCAGATCTGGCTGGAAGGTGTGCGGCAACATCAATGTTTAAATAAACCAGAGAACAAAGCGAAGCAAAAGACCCAAATTTTATAACTGCCAGATGGAGGTAGAAGTTACTGTAGACACTAATTCCTTTGACATCTTCTCTTTTTTTAAAAAAAAATACAATATTTTATTTAAAAAAAAATCTTCTGGAACAGAGAATGGGGTAGGTACCAGGAAAGATAACTAGAGACACAATTCTTTTATCTGTGTGAAGAGTTAATGAATAATTGCCCGGGAAATTTCAGTAACATTTTAATAGCATAGGATACTGAGACATTTAATTTGGGTGTTATAGAATTTCTGCATATAATTTCCATTCACTGTGTTCAGTTCAATACCAAGCTATTATTTTGACTGAAGATTTTTAGGTAACGCTTGGCTTTTTAAATGATGGGCTATCTAGCAATCATGTAGATAGATAGGACTTAATATCTTCTAAAAACTAACAGAATAACAAGAGTTGGAAGGGACCTTGGAGGACTTCTAATCCAACCCCCTGCTCAGGTAGGAGACCCTATATCATATCAGAAAAATGGTTACCCAATCTCTTCTTAAGAACCTCCAGGACTGGCATACCCACAACTTCTGGTGGCAAGTCGTTCCACTGATTAACTGAATCTATGCCGTCAGAAGCAAGCATTCTCAGATTAAGTGGAACCACTTCCTAGGGATCTATGCAGAGAGTTGGAAACCTTCAAACATTGTAACGTTATGTACTGCTCTCCGTGTGAATCCATGTTCCTTTTCTTTTTCTGGTGTGATGGATTTATGGAGCTCAAAACTCAGTTGCTCACCAAAAAAAATCAGAGTTTTTAGATGCAATTGTGATGTGGAGATGATTTCATCCAGAAGGTTTCTCTGCTTTTTTCCCCCCCTTCCTTTAGCTCGTGACCTTCAGAAGTGGGAATATGTCCCCCTGGGTCCATTCCTGGGCAAGAGTTTTGGCACCACTATCTCTCCATGGGTTGTCACTATGGAAGCTCTGATGCCCTTTGCACTGCCAAATCCTACCCAGGTTGGTACAAAGCAATGGTGGGTTTTGGGGCGGTATGCCCCGGTATGAGCATACTGGTGGCAGCTGCTCCTAGCTGCCACCGTACGGGAACGCTGTTTCCGTTGGGCCCACCGACCTGCCCTCGTTTCTTACTTCTTTGTAAGCTAGCGGGCCATTTGTGCATGTGCGTGCAGCGTACGGCGCCTGCACGATGCTCCACTGAGCAGCTGGAGTGTCGCAGGGTGGTGGGTGCTCAGCATACTGGTTGCGACAGGATCCATAGCATATCACTGGTACAAAGTGTAAATACACTGTGAACTTAAAGTAGTCAAGATACCAGACCCTACCACTTTGGGAAGGATGCTCTCTCCCCATAATTCAGTTTAGCTTCATACAGATACTAATCCAAAATGTGTTCATACATAATACATGCGCACAATACAGTGGAGGTTTCGATATTCCATAATCATTAAGATTAAAACTATTAACGTGTAAGTAATAGTGTGATATGGGGACGCGGTGGCTCAATGGCTAAGACGCTGAACTTGTTGATCAGAAGGTCGGCAGTTCAGCAGTTTGAATCCCTAGTGCCATCTAACGGAGTAAGCTTCCGTTACTTGTCCCAGCTTCTGCTAACCTAGCAGTTCAAAAGCATATTTAAAATGTAAGTAGAAAAATAGGAACCACCTTTGTTGGGAAGGTAACAGCGCTCCATGTGCCTTTGACATTTAGTCATGCTGGCTACATGACCACAGAGACGTCTTTGGACAGCACTGGCTCTTCAGCTTTGAAACGGAGATGAGCACCGCCCCCTAGAGTCGGGAACGACTAGCACATATGTGCGAGGGGAACCTTTACCTTTACCTTAATAGTGTGGAAAATTAAATAATTCTCTGCTTGAAATATTAACATCCTAAATTATAATTATTACTGACAAACCTTTAATGTAGTGCTGTGTTTTCAGTATCTTAAGCTTGTTAAACAATAGAAGGCTAATTATTTATAATAGTTTTATTGTCAGACAAAGAATCAGGACCACCTTTTATGTTTTAGTTAAGCTGATTTATTGCTCATGTTAAGAATCTAGTTAATGGGTCAGCACTCAATTGGCACTCGATAAGGGCAACTGGAATTCAAGAGGGTGTGGAGTTGGATCGCTTGTGGGAATGTAATGATTCCAGGCTGATTCCTCTCTTGACTCCACCTCAGACTCTGTCTGTCCTTCTTTTATATTTATATCACTTTATAACACACAGTATATCAAATATGAAGCAATAGTTATATCACTTCACTGAAACAACCTGACGTATCAAGAGTTACAACAACAATATAATTAAAGGGAAGAGGTGTTGGGTTGGATTCTGCTTCTGAGTGTTGCATGAACCATTAGAAGTCCAACTCCTAAAGTTGACATAGTAGGGAAAGGGGGGAGCGCATTCCACGCATACTTTGGGCTAGACGGATCTCAGATTACCGCAGCAGACTTGGGAGGGGTGCACCTCATTGGGGAATGTGATTTGTGACTCAGACTGAGAGGAGGGAAGGAACGGGGGTAAAGTTCAGCTATATTTCAAATAAGCTAAGATCTGACTGTACAAAACAGGCATTGCCCAAATGCTCCTAATCAATGACCGGTTTCTCTTTTGAAATTTGATTCGAGGCTCGTGAATCAATTAGAGCATTTAATGGAAACCTGACACCCAGTTTACTATTAGAGAGAGTGATGTTTCTTTTATTATTTCAAGGACCCCAAGCCCCTGCCTTACCTATTTGATGACCAGCCATATACTTTTGACATAAACCTCTTCGTTGCTATAAAAGGTATGTACGCTGTGGTTTCAAGTCGATGTACAACTTGGGGAGCTCCAAAGGAGCAAATTCATGAAACCAAGATAATGACATGTGACTTGACAATGTCTTTAATCTATGTAGTTTCTTGTTGAAAATGGGGGAGGGGGGAAATGTCCTCTATCCAAGCTGTTGATTTGACCTCGGAGATTAGGATTCTTGCTTGGAGCTATCTCCACCCTGTTACTACTTAGATCAGAGGCTCTGGAGCCGCATGTGGCTCTGTCATCCCTCTGCTGTGGCTCCCTGTTGCTGGTCGGCTCCACAATGGATAGGACTTTCAGTTAGGACAGGTAGAGGAAAAAAGGGACACTGCGCTAGGAGGAGACTCGACAGTGGGGGAACCGGACTTCTGGTTGGCTCCAGAATTGAATGAGGGGGGGGGGGGCTTCCGTTTTTGACCTTTGTGTCTATTTGAGTGTTTACATTTGCTGACCTCTGACCTAGATGTATGCCAGCCCTTTGATGTAATTTAGACAAGTAGCACAAACCATTATCATCACTAACACTGCTTTTATTGTAGGGTTACAATAATAGAATCTTGCGAGTCTGAAAATGTTTCTCCCCCCCCCCCCCTTTCCTTTTAATTCCTAGACAACTAGAGAGTGTCTTTTCTGGGGTGCTTCCCATGCCCCTATTCCTTCTCTGGGCTGGGATTCCTTTTGCATGACGATGAAGGAGTCTCAGTGAAGGAGAATATTATAGCACAGGGTTGAAATGAGGGGTCCTTGGTGCTTTCCGAGCTTGGTTGTTTTCTTTCAGACATTTCATTACCCAACTAGGTAGCAGCATCAGTACCAGCTGGTTGACTGTGGCGCTTCCTCTTGTCTCCCAAGTTAATCCCCACACACCAATACACTATTTTAGGCAGTACGTGAATTTCAGATGAAAGTCATCAGAAGGGAGTGCCCTGTACATAGGAAGGGAAAAACACCCTGAAGATAGAATTAATTTGTGCTTATGCAGATTAAAGTTCCCTGGTTTGTGTGTTTGATCATTTTCAAAATGTGGGGAAGGCACAGATTTCCTTTCCTTTCCTTAATAATATTTGCTTGCTTTTAGGAGATGGTATGAGCAAGCCGGCAAATATTTGTAGGTCAAACTTTAAGGTAAGAGAAAAAGTTGTTATAATCTAATTTCTCACATCACCTATGGAAAACTGATGTACAGTATGTTCATATATCTCTATGGCTATCATTCTCTTTCTTGATACATAGCATATGTATTGGACCATGAAGCAACAGCTAACTCACCATACCGTTAACGGTTGCAACCTCAAACCTGGAGATCTTTTGGCCTCTGGAACTATTAGTGGCCCAGTAAGTATTGAACTGATTATATGGTTATCCAAATATTTGCATTAAAATTTTAAACCTGCCGTGAGGAATCTAACCGCCATAGCAATAAAGCCAACCAGGTTTTAAAGCTAGTTCAAAATGCATTTCAATAGATCCTTTCTAATCTCCAGATTGGGGCATAGCAGAACTTGGGAATCACAGCATTAAGAATTGGATTGTCTTCTGCTCCATTCAAGTATAGTAGAGAAAGAGAGAAACTGCCAGCAGAATTGCCTCCCTTGTTATGACTATAGTTGTACATCAAGGTACACAGTGGTATATCAAGGAAAGATGGCACCATGGGACATGTAGTCCTCCATTTCCAGTATCCCCAGTTGCAGTATATATGTAGCAACAGCCATTGCTGTAGATCCTGCTATACGTTTTATCAAGATTGGATTCTTGCTAATTCTCCACTTTCTGCTTTGAGAAAATAACATAAAAGATGGAAGATAGAAAAAACTGGTAGGCTATCAGGAGAAGTAGAATTTAGATATAGCTTAATTCGAATTCTTCTTGGCATCTTATATTCTATCATGATTCTGAGATTTTATGTGCTTTAGCTAAAAATAACAACACCAAAAGTTCTCTTGGCTCTCTCTCATCTTCCAGAGAATAAAATATTAAATTATGGTGAAGGATTGACAGCAGTTTTCTTCTTCAAATCTCAGAGCAGCCTTAATTTCTGCAAAACAGAGGCCAGGGCAATAGTTACAGAGTCCATTGATGCTCCATTTTCTTGTTCCGATTTCTGCTTTTGAAGGAACCTGAGAATTTTGGGTCCATGTTGGAACTGTCCTGGAATGGGACAAAAAGTATCGATCTCGGGCAAGGTCAGTCCCGAACATTTCTGCAGGATGGAGATGAGGTCATTATGACAGGTAAGCAGATGTGAATGTAGGCCGTGAAAACAGCTGTGCACCTCTATCCTGGGCTGCTTCGGAGAAGGCCTGGAAGAGAAGAAACATCTGGATGGGAAGTCACAAGCTGATGTGAAATCTTAGGAGTTGTTTATTCATTAATATGGATGTTAATTAATGGGAACTCTGGAGGGTGTCCTTGAGATATTTGGGGAAATGAGATTTTAACAGGGGCCTCAACCTGGATATGGATTGGATCTGTTTTCATGTTGCAAGATCGAATCTGGGTTCTTTCTTTCTTTTCTTTCAGGGTATTGTCAGGGAAAAGGTCACAGGATTGGTTTTGGTGAATGTTCTGGAAAAATCCTTCCTGCCAGAATGATCTAAGAGGGTGTCCTTGACATATCATACAAAATGGAGACGTTTGGAGATATTTCTACCATTGTTTGACATAAAGAAACATACATCAGTTACAGTTTTCGCTCTCTCGCGCTCTCTCTCTTTAGTCAATTTTTTTTTTTGCACTTACAGATTTCTGATTTCCAGATATTTTCTTGGCAAATATATTTTAGGAATACAACAGTCACTGTGTTCCAAAGGTCTTTTTTTCAAAAGGCAACTGAACTTCCTTAGTTTTTTTTCCGTGAAGGCGTTTCGCTTCTCATCCAACTGAAGAAGCTTCTTGGATGAGCAGCGAAACATCTTCAAGGGAGAACAAAGAAAATCTGGTTTGAAAAAAAGCACTTTTGGGGCAACCATGATCTGGATGACTGAGAATCTCCATAAACCACAGCAATTGTGCATCAGATTCTCAGCATTGTACTTAGGTCTGGTTTGGTAACTTTCTTTCTAAAAAATTCTATCAAGACACTGTACACGGACAGATGTGAATTCATCTTTAGCCATGTAAGCTAGCTAAAAAAAAAAAGTAGGCATTGAATAGTTCTATAAAGCATTGCATTATTTTTCTATTCTTGTCCCAGATGTATTGCTGTCCAGATATAAACCAGTCAGTTAGGGTTAGTCAAGCATCAGGTGAACATTTTACTCATCCTGATTTATATTCTGATAAATCTTTTAAGTGTCGTAGAATTGCTTTCGTTCGCCGGGTTCTGTCACACACAAATTGTGTATCGTTGCAATCACAAAATGGCTGCCATGGTGGGCGTGGCCAATGGCGAAATACCCATTTCCCAAAATGGAATCCATGCCCACAGGATGCTGTCTGTCATCTGAGTGAGATTTTTGCTGGCTCTCAAAGACTTTCCTGCCCATACATTTGAAACTGAAGGGTAGTTTGCGTCTTTTGTCTTTCTTTTCTTCAATGAGAGGCATCCCATCATTTCTAGGGCTTCTGCAAATCTCTGTTCAGGGATTCCCACCTTTTAACCATGAAATAAATAAAGGAGATCCATTCTTTTGGATGTAATGCAAAGGGCCACGACTTCAATTCAGAGTGTTCTAGAATTACCTCCAGACATTTACAAACCAAGTATCTTTGCATCCCTTGATAGGGCCTTCTTTTTTTTTAAAAAAAAAAAACAATAAACAAAGAGCACCAAAGATCTCTACAAGTGGCCTGCAGAGCTGGCAGCAGATTCGGACAGTGAGGAGGTTGGAGAGGAACATGGGCCAGTCCTGGAATCTGGGGAAGGCTCTGATGAGGGCTCTGTGTCAGAGGCAGGGCGGGGGCTAGAGCTGTATCCCAGTTATCAGCTACCTTCAGACTCAGACATCAGTGAGGCAGACGAACAGCTGGAGCCTGTTCCCTGTGTGCGCATGTGCAGAGTTTGCCAGACGAAGGGAGCAGCTAAAGAATGGGTCGACTTGGGAGTAAGGGCACAGGTGGATGATGAATGGCCCCTCCCAGAGGAAATAAAAGAGGAGCGAAAGGGGAGTGGAGTTTGCAAGAAACAATTAGTTCACTTAATTGGTTCGTGACTCTCCGAGACTCCTTGCCAAGTTTTGNCCTGCCTGCCTACCTACCTACCTACCATGTTTCCCGAAAATAAGTCAGGGTCTTATTTTCTTTTGACTCCCCAAAATAAGCGCTTGGCCTTATTTTCGGGTGGTCTTATTATTTTTGAGATGCAGGAGGAAGCGAGCATAGTCACCTCATGGCTTCTGCTCTGTTGCAATATTTTCAGGGAGGGCTTATTTTAGCGCATGTACTCAAAAGCCCGATTGGGCTTATTATCCGGGGAGGTCTTATTTTCAGGGAAACAGGGTATCTATCTATCTATCTACATTCATTCATTCATTCATTCACTCACTCATTTATTATTTCTTTCCCTTCTAGGAGATTACACAGATTTCTACTCTTCTCGCCAACATGCAACCAACGTCGGGGTGATGTTTAGAGGGAAGGAGAATGCGCTAATGCCCAACTGGTCAGTAACTCTCCTTCTTTCTCTGAACAAGAAGATACAGTGGACCTAATTTATTGGCTTGATTGGGGTGAATATCTGCAGTGATTTATTGTCTGCCTTTGAGGTGCTGCAATTTTTGAGGGGGTTGGTCTTTGGTTGGAGCCAGAACAAAAATTGGAACGAGTGTGGTGCAATTATGTAATTCAGACTTAATTGAATGGAGGCTGCATTCTTGTTCTGAAAATGTCAGCTGGGTGGCAATTTGCTGTCCAATTTGTGGATCACAAAAATAAATCCAAGAATGAATAAATAAATAAATTTTAGGGTTTTGTGGTCTGCAAATTGGGTAGCTTGAACTAGTTATCTATTGCAGGACCCAATAGTTATCCATCAGTTTGCCTCCTAATGGTTATGGAGTGACCCGCAGCAAAATCCTTTAACAAGCATCCCAGAAAACATTGAAAGCAACAGAGCGTATAAAAACTTCAGTGCTGTTCCATAAGCAGGGGGGTTGGACTAGAAGACCTCCAAGGTCCCTTCCAATTCTGTTATTCCATCCTATAATTTGGATATTTCCTTTAAACTGCAGTCCCTCCCCATTGAATTTGGAAGGGCAACAAAGAGAAGTCCATTATCATCCGGGCAAGAGATTGTTCTACAACAAAGGCAAGAATTGGTTTTGCGTACAACCTTTCTTGCCGCAGTTGTTAAGCAAATCACTGCCGTTATTAAGTTAGTAACGAAGTTGTTAAGTGAATCTGGCTTCCCCCATTGACTTTCCTTGTCTGAACATTGTAAAAGTGGATTTCATGATCCTGCATGTCATAAATGTCAGTCAATTGCGTCCAAATTTTGACCACGGGGATGCTGGAAGGGTCGTAAGTGTGAAAAGTGGCCCTAAGTCATTTTTTCCAGGGCCGATGTAACTTTGGACAGTCACTAAATCAAGTGTTGTAACTGGAGGACTGACTGTATCCCTCCGGAGATTAGAAGTGAGATGTGCTTTTAACACATGAGTCGTGTCTTCCAAGGTTGCACCTGCCAGTTGGATACCACGGACGGGCTTCTTCTGTCGTCATCTCTGGGACCCCAATCAAAAGACCGGTGGGCCAAATGTGTCCTAATGAAAGTGAGTCTTTTAGGTCTCTACTTGCAAATTTCAACACTTACCGTAGGAGTATAAGACGCACCTTCCCCCCCCCCCTAAAAGACAGTGGAGATTTGGGTGCATCTTATACACTGAATATAGCCCCACCCACCCACCGGCCGCAACCCTTTGGCCTCTGCCTCCCAGTAATCTACCTCCTTGCAGCAAACGGGGCTTACGGAGGCTGCAATAGGCTATAGCAATCCCTGCAGCCTGAAACAGCTGATGATCAGGAGAAACCGAAAGTGAAACTTGCTCCAGGAGGCAAATTGCTGGGAGGCAGAGGCAGATTTTTTTTTCTTGTGCTAATCAGTCTGTTTGCTGCAAGGAGGTAAGTCAACAACTATAAATGCCTATAGAATGTTCATATCTTTAGACTTATTTTTTAAAGACTGCTTTATTATTATTCTAGACAATTTAACAAAATGAAGAAGCTTTTAAAAATAAATGCTTGATCTGAAGAGGCCCAGTGCTATTGTTTTAAAAAGTGCTGTTCTTTTAAATAGCAGAGAATAACTATACTCCCAGAAAGCANCATCCCCCACAAACACACACACAATTTGTGGAACAAGGGAGAGAGAGTCTATCCTTAAGCATCCCCTCCCAACAGACACACAATTTGTGGAACAAGGAAGAGAGTGTGTGCCCTTAAGCAGAATTCTCCTGCAAGCCAGCCCCTCAAGCAGAACGCAGGGGATCTGGATTCCTCAGTCAGTCCTTCCATAAAACAGGGAATTTCAGTCCCCACCATCTCACCAGGGGTTCCTGCTAGTTGGACGGCCCTCCCCCTCCTCCCCAAAGTCGAAAAGTCAGTGTGAGCAGCCCAAAACTGCCACACAGTTTAGCAGCGGAAGGGTTTGCCCGCCTGCCTAAAAAACCCGCCACGCGCAGGTGAGCGGTCCTTGGCAGGAAAGGAAGCAGCCTTCCCTTAAGGAACCATTGGAGGGGGTGAGGGGGGAGGGAGAGAGAAAAACATAAAGAGTTACCAACCTATCACAACTTGTTCACTCCGGCAGTGCCACAACAGCCACCCTCCCCTGCGATGCGTCGGCGCGAGGTACAGGTCTCCTGGAGCATCCTGGCTTAGCGTTTCTGAAATGCCTCTGGCTGCTTCCTAAACCCCGGGAGGACCAATGAGAGATTCCTCTCTCTCTGCTCTGAACACCAGTCTGGGGGCCTCTTGACTTCCATCGAGCAGCTGAGCTTCCCCCCCCCCCCCCAGTTCCTAAATCATCGCAGGGCAGTGCTTCTGCTGCAAAATTGGGATGACTTGCTGCATTGGTTTTTCACCCTTCCTGTGCTTGAGAGCTACACCTGCTTGCTCCAGCCAGAAGGCTCCCCTCCTCCTTCCCTTCTCCTCTACAGCACAATTGGAGCATCTGCGGCACCCCCAGAATCACCGGGCTGCCATTGTCCCTGGAATCTCTTCTGTCTGCAGTCCCTTGTTTGCCCTAAATGCTGACTGTGAGGTTTGCAAAGCCAGCCACCCACCAGCAGTGGCTTGAAGAGATTCCCAGCCCTGCGAAAGAGAGTGGATGAGTCTCTTTTTCCCTTGATTTGGCACCTCTCCCACCGACATGGTTCCTGAACCCACTAGAAAAACCCCTGAGCTTTTTTTTTTTTTTNAGGGCGGCTTACATAAAGTAAGGAGGGGAGGATACAGACAATGGACACAAACAATACATAGAAGTAAAATAGTAAGCAACATTCATTCATCATTCAGGTGAGGACAAGTCATCTTTTTGCATCTGATTTACTGAACCGGTTGTTGCAAGGACCAGATTTCCCCGCCCATCCTGCCCCTCCCCTCCCAGGAGTCTCCATGTGGCCTGTTCATCATGCCAGGTAAGTGCAGGGCCTTTGTGAAAGCTCCAGGAGGGCAAAAAACGGGCATCCCGAAAGTCCAGAAATGGACCCTCTGGAGCCTGGGGAGGGCGAAAAACGGGCCTACAGGAAGTACTGGAAGTCCGACAATGGGCCTGTTTCCAGCCTCCGGAGGCCATTTTTTTCCTGGAGGCTTGAGGAAATCCTCCGGAGCCTGGGGAGGACATGGTGCAGGAGGTCAACTAGGCTACGCCCTCCATGGCCACACCCACCCAGCAACCGGGAAAAGAACCGGTTGCTAACATTTTTCAATCCCACCCCTGCTGCCATCGTCATAAATAGGAGTCCATTGCCAAGCATCCAAATTGTGACGATGGGAATGCTGCAATGGTCATAAATGTGAAAAACGGCGATGAGTCATTTTTCCCCCCAGGGCTGCTTTAACTTCGAACAATGAACTGTTGTTAATTTGAAGACGACCTGTGTGTTCATTGGCAGCATCCGGGTTTAATGGAGTGGAAGCCCAGGTGGGAAACTCTAGCTGACAACTGAGATTTCTGCTCCAAAGCAATTTCTGGGGAACCAGCCAACATCCCGAGCCATTCTAAGACAGAAGCCATTTTGAATGAATCGCTGGAAACTCCCCTGGAATTCTTCCCAAGTGATAAATCAGGTTGATGGCCTTTATGATGCTTTTAATGTCAACTGGTGGTTAAAGAACAAGCCCTGATTTCCCTTCCCAACAAGTGCAGTGGGAATGGTGCCATCCGTAGCCTGAATTAAAGTTCCATTCAGAAGTTCCTGCGTGAGAATTTGAATGCATATAATACAGAGGAAAGGGATGCGGTGGCTCAGTGGCTAAGACACTGAGCTTGTCGATCAGAAAGTTCGGCAGTTCGGCAGTTCAAATCCCTAGCGCCGCATAACNCCATCCCATCCTATTCTAAACACATCATGTTGTATATTTGGGAATAATTTAATTTAATTTATTAGATTTATAGGCCCCCCCAATCCCGGAGGACTCCAGGCGGCTTACACAGAACAAGAAAAGAAAAAGAAACAAAATATCAGCAACCACCAATCAAATTGCTTAACTAATAGGTTGCAGTCATAACTTAACTAACAGGTTATAAGCTTACTGCAATTTACCTGAAGAAGCGCTTACCTTGGCTTTCTTTGTAACTTTGCCTGTTAGTAACATGCATGGGAAGTCTTCACCTGCAGTCAGCAGAAACTTTTCTAATTTTTTTTTTCAGCCTAGAGAAAAATCTTGCCTCCATAAAAAAATACCTCAGCATATATAATTCTTTCCAAGTCACCTTCAATTGATCCACGCTTGCTATTTGGAGCAAGCACTGCTTAATCCAATAATATATCTATCCATTATTAAAAAAAGACACAAAGCTGACCCACACACAAGTTTTAAAGAATTCTCTCTTTCCAAAAATAAACGGAGAGATCCGGGGAGCAGGAGAGGGGGAGAAATAGCACATAACCTGCAGTCTTTCCTATATGAACCATAATTACCCCTAAAATTATGTTCTCTGAGGAGAAAATGTCATGTTTCCTGCAGTTGCGACAAATACAGATCATTCCTCATGTTGGGAGATCAAAGGCAGTCATGATTCCCCCCCCCTCCTCCTCATTAAATTAGAGATGGCACCCTGAAGTCTAAACCTGTTTTAAAAATGTAAACTTGAAAATGGTGGAGCTTGACTGAATCTAAACCTCAGAGCTTTGGCAGATTAAAGATTTCCATCAGGCCCATCAACAAAGTTCGTTATGATTTGGCAAAACAGATTTAAAAAGCAAAACTGTTCTGTATCTGTGAAAATCCACTGTGCACTAAGGAACATGGCTCAATCCAAAGCAATAAAATACTACTCAGTGAGTTATTTCTCAATCAGACTTCGTCAATTGTTCCTGTGCCAAGCTTGTATTTGATATGCAAATATCCCTCTCCTCTTTGATGCTAAAAGAACTCATCCTTTGCTCCATTGCAAACTTCAAATCGCACCCATTCATCCCTCAAACAAAACCTTGCCCAGCCACTTCGGAACATTTGCTTCTGCCTACTTGTGCGCACGCCNAGAAAGAAAGAAAGAAAGAAAGAAAGAAAGAAAGAAAGAAAGAAAGAAAGAAAGAAAGAAAATGAAGCTAAAAATCAACTTAGTTCCTTTGCTTCCACAACTGTGTGTTGTTTCTGGTTGTTTTTATTCGCCTGACTTCACAAATATGGACAAAATCCCTGTGGAAACTTGGTGGACTGAAACATGCATGGAGAACACATTTTTAATTTAAAATTCTGCCCTCTTCTTGGAGGAGGAGAAGGCATCGATGGCACGGGACCAAGTCATAAATGCTTCCCTGTTTCATTTTGCAAGGTTATCTTTTTGAAACAGTCAATATAAAAAAGTCAACGATAAATCTACCTCTTGATTGGAATCAATCTAAAGCAGCTGTAAAGAGCAAGGAAAGCTTTGGAGTTTTCCAAAACTCTTAATTTTTTTTAAAAAAGATTTTCTATTAAATACATTTCTTAGTGCTTAATAAACATCGTGTTGTCTGGATATTTAATTTGCTTAACAATACAAATTTACATTCTTAACCTCCATCCCTTTTTTCTAACCATTGGTAAAACAAAATCGATGTTTGATAATATACTAGATCTTCTTTCTGTTTAATTTTCAATTTCAATCTATCCATCCATTTCTGCACCATCTACTATCTTCCTGACTCTCTTCAACTCGCGGTCTATCTTCATTTTTCCAGTATTGTGCGAAAATAATCCTCGCTGCTGCTAAAACATGTAATATTAAGTACATACTTTTCTTATCAATTTTTTTCTGATATTTTCCTTAATAAAAACAATTCGGGTTTAAAATCTACATGTTTCCCTATCATCTTTTTTAGCCACCTGTGTAACATTGCCCAATTTTATTTTATTTTTTTGCTCTTGCGCAAGTAGAACTCTTAATTATCTGTGTAAAAAAGCAAGGGATTGAGACAAAGCATATAAATGGACAGAGAAGCCCTGCATTTAAAAATCTACCTTTAGTTAGAGATTATAATCTGAAGGAATTGGTCAGTGGGGTGAGTGATTAAGGTTATACTTAGCATTCAAGGACAAAAACGAAAAAACCTTTTTCCAGCTGGAA